CTAGTTTCATAACGGCTAGTTTCATAACGGCTAGTTTTTAACGGCTAGTTTCATAACGGCTAGTTTTTAACGGCTAGTTTCATAACGGCTAGTTTCATAACGGCTAAATTTTAAGCAATCAGTTAAGCAACCCCATTGTAGATGGTCTTATTTACTATTTATAACGGCTAGTTTTTAATGGTTAGTTTCATAACGGCTAGTTTATAACGGCTAGTTTCATAACGACTAGTTTTTTTTTTTCACGTGTGTTCCTTTGACAATGGTAGTTTTCTAATTTTTTAATTGAAGATATAATTGAATAACATAAACTTAACATAACTTGTTACAATAATAATTCAAATTGAATAACATAAATTGAACATAAGTTGTTACAATAATAATTAGCACTACTTAGTTGAAGCCCCATTTTTTCATAATTTGGGTACAAATAAATTCATGTCTTCTACGTTGGTTTTCATCCATTCCCGATGTATCCTTGTATAAAATTTCCATGTCATCCTTTTGTTGTTGTGCTCTTAATTTCTCCTGCTCAAGTGCTAGTTGTGCTTCGCGGTCTATCTCACGTTGTATGAGTTTTTTCTTCTCAATTTCCATTTGTTCAAGCTTCGCTGTTGCGTGTATTTCGTTTGCTTTTGCTAACCGTTCAAGAAAATTCAATTTCATCTCTTTTTCTTCTTCAAGGCATTTTGATGATGTCCCTCGAAATTTAGATTTTGCTTTTTTTTTTTGCAGCTTCTCGGCCCATTGGACGATTCGCACTACCTGATCCCACATTATTGTCACTAGTTGGCTCACTTGTTGGCGTTGCTGGATTAGAGGATGATGAATATGCCCCTGTGGCAGAAGTCTTTGTCCTCTTTATTCCAGATTCGTCTTGTTCAGCATTCCATCTCGGATGATCCTTCAACATTTCCCAATAAGCCTGCATTTTGAATTTCCTCTTTGTACTTTGTTCATACAACTGGTATGCCATTTCCAAGACATCGGTCTCTGTCATGCCACTTCTCTTGCATCTTTCTGCTTCACTGTGGCATCCTGCAAATGTCGTTGCCTCTTTATTAATCTTTTGCCATTTATGTTGTAATTGACTCGCATTCTTTGAACTCGTTTAAGGTCCACGATACTTGTTAAAATTTTCCATGACCCTATGCCAAAACTTATCTCCCTTTTGAGCCGCTCCTATCTGCGAATCTTCTGAAATATCCATCCGCGACATAATGAGTTGTTTGCAATCTGCCACACTGAATGATCCTCTTTCTGTTTTCATCTTTGAACTTCCTTCGATTATTTCGTCTTCCTCTTGAAGATCAATATTTTCCAAACCGATTTGGGTGGATAATTGTGGGAACTGAGAGTCTCTTCTCGAAGAAGAAGAATTTTCATTTTGGCTCAAAAAAGATGGAACATTCTGAGTAGGAAGTTGTGGATAATTTTGAAACGGGATAGGCGGGATATTTTGAGTCGGGAAAGGCAAATTATTTGGAGTCGGGAAAGGCATATTGTTCTGGTTTGGAGCTTGATTTTGCAACATTTGAAAATATCGCATCCATTCTTTTGGATCCATTGAGACAGAATTTTTTTATAAGAATTGAGATAAAGAAAATTTGAACTTGATAATTTGAAATTTTTGTACCAAATGATTCATCAACCCACATATTTATACCCACACGCTTTTATTACCGTTTTTTTTTAACGTTGCATTTGCAAAGGTACTGCATCAGACATAAGTTTTTTTTTTTTTTTTAATACCATCAGTATTATTATATTTATAATTTTATATTTATTAAAAAATGAAAAAAAATACTCCACTACTCCACTAGTACCCACCGCTCCTTTTTCATCTCTCTGGAACCTTCCCACTTCATTTCTTTCTTTCTCTTCTCAAAACCCTCACCACCACTTTCCTTTCTCCTTAGCCACTCTCTAGCCGCCGCGATCAAGCCGTCGTCGCTGTCTTGTCTTTCTCTCGTTTCCTTAGCTCTACTTGCCGCCGCTGCTGCCGTCGCCTAACACCGCCGTCGCTGTCTCTCTTTCTCTTGTTTCCTTAGCTCTCCTCGCCGCCGCTGCTTCCTTCGCCTACCACCGCCGGCGACCGAAAGAGAGGGAAGTCGGAGACGCTGTACCTCGGAACGGTTGCGAGCTCGGAGGAGGGAATAGCTTGAGTACACATGCGGTTGCTCGGAGGAGGGAATAGATGAAGAAGAAGAAGACCGGTGCTTCTGATCTGGATTTTTTCTTGCGCAATTTCTATTTTCTTGTTGTTGTTGATGATTTTAATTATTGTTTTTCTTGCTATTTAATTGTTCTTGTTGATGATCTGATTTTTATTGTGTAAAATTTTTCATTTTAAAAATTATGGAATTCTTTACAATTTCTGGTTCCCTTTGCAATTTTTTTTCTTGTAATTGTTGTTCATTCTGGTTCTCTGGAATTTAAATTCTGGTTGAAGCAATTTTGGATTTCTCATCCTCTCTCTCATGTCTTGCGCCATTTTCTGGTTCATTGGCCATAAATTCTGATTGCTTGTGGATTGCTTATTCAAGCAATTGTTTAACCTAAGCAATTGCTTGTCTTCTCTTCACAATGGGAAATTGCTTAAATAGCAATTGCTTATTTTTAAGCAATCAGTTAAGCAACCCCATTGTAGATGGTCTTAATAAGAGCATCTTTGTCATTGCACACTCATCCACTATACTTGTGGGTCCCAACAATTACAATAAATTCACTCTCTCTGCCTGATAAAAAATAAAAAATTTACACCTCTCTCTCTCTCTCTCTCTCTCTCTCTCTCTCTCTCTCACACACACACACACACACAAACATCTCTCTCTCTCTCACACACACACACACAAACACTCACTCTCAATACACACCCACACATGCACGGGACACACACACATTCACACAGTCAGAACCGTAGGCGACCACTTTCCTTTCGCCGGTGGTGTGGCCGGCCACCACCTTCATTGTTCGCGTCATCTCCGCTGCGCCATAAATCCGGCACCGACCAACACAACTTCCGCGGCACCTATTGAATATATTATATCAAAGAAAGTGTAAATTTATATCTTGTCTTAGGTTTAATTGAAAGATGTTTTAATTACAGATAATTTAATAGTGTAGTAAATCACATTTATATTATTATATATATATGTATAAATATATATATATATAGAGAGAGAGAGAGAGATAGAATTGTAGCCAAAAGTAAGTCGAACAATTGGTGTAGGGACCAAATGAGTAGGAAATAGTTGTATCGTTATGAATGGCAACTTAAATTTTTTGCTCTTGTATTTTCTTTATAGCAACATTTATCACATTAAATCGTCATATCACTTCATATTTTGCCTCTCGACTTATGTTCACTTAAAAAAGAATATCCAAAATAAATTTTTCATTTCTGAACCCACCATAGTTATCGTCTTTCTCGAAAAAATTCATAATTCCAAACTTTCTGAAACACCAGGCCCAGCCCCTAGGCCAAGGTGACTGGGAAATGGCCCATGGCCCAATAAAAGTGATGGCACCACACTAGGGACAAATGTGATATATGTAGGCTTAAGTACATATAGACGGCTCCAAATAACGCTAATATCCAAAAAGCGAGATGCAAAAGTTATTCACATTTGTACGAGATCCTTCGGTTTTATGAAGCAGGAAAATAACACTATTATTACCCTTGTCATAGACTTTCTAATTTTTTGAGTTTAAAGAGTTATTACTGTTTCTGTGTTTTAAAACTTAATTAATTCCAATAATGGACGTTGTTAATGAGCAATTCATGCTATATTAACTTATTTTCTCTCTCCAATATGTGTACAAAATAATTAAATTCCAAATTTAATTTTAGATATAGTTTATTTTAAATTTATCTTGGGTTTATGAACAGTTTTTCTACCATAATATTATATCTAGATTATTTTAAATTTATTATAGGTTTATAAACCATAACAAGAACACCTATTTTTAATTTATTTTAGGTTTATAAAACATTACAACTATTCAAACTGTAAATTCAAATTTATATATAGTTTATTTTCAATTTATTATACAAGAAAAAATAAGTTTATTATACATGAAAAAATTATATAGGGTTTATTTTTACTTTATTTGTAGTTTATCTTAAGTTTGTAACATTATTTTTATAAATTGAAACTTTTGGTTATTCACAAACTTATTATTGATTTTTATAAATTGAAACATGAGGTTTACATTTAGACATCAAAAGGAAAAATAAACCACAGATAAACCAACAAAAAAACACAGATAAACCACAGATAAACCAACAAAAAACAACATATA